TTCTTTCCTTTCTTTCTTTTTTTCTTTCTTTCTTTCTTTCTTTCTTTCTTTCTTTCTTTCCTTCCTTCCTTCTCTCTCTCTTTCTCTCTTTCTTTCTTTCTTTCTTTCTTTCTTTCTTTCTTTCTTTCTTTCTTTCTTTCTTTCTTTCTCTCTCTCTCTTTCTTTTTTTGGTTAGGCAGTGGGGTTAAGTGACTTGCCCAGGGTCACACAGCTAGTAAGTGTCAAGTGTCTGAGGCCAGATTTAAACTCAGGTCTTCCTGATTCCAGGGCCGGCGCTCTATCCACTGCTCCACCCAGCTCCCCCAGGCATGTATGTTTCATCATTGGTTCTTTAGAATCATGGATGGTCATTGTATTGATCTTAGTTCTTAGGGTTTTCAAAGTTGTTTGTTTTTATAGTGTTGTTATTATGGAAATTGTTTTCCTACTTCTGCTCATTTCCTTCTTCAGCTCTTTATCAGTTTATAAAAGTGATGCAGTAGATAGAATGCTGGGTCAGAGTCAGGAAGATTAGAGTTCAAATCTGGCCTTAGACACTTGCTAGTTCTGTGATTCTCTGCAAGTCACTTAACCTATGTCTGCCTCCATTTCCTCATCTGTAAAGTGGGAATATTAATAGTTCCTACCTCCTAAGGTTGTTGTGAGGATAAAATGAAATACTATTTGTAAAATGCTTTGCTAACTTTAAAACACTGTTTATAAATTCTAGCTATTATTCAAAATTGTTAATTTTTTAAAATAATATTGATGCTATAGTATATAAATTTTGGTTCTCCTTATTTCACTCTGCATAAATTCATGTAAGTCTTTCCATGTCTCTTTGGAATCATCTCTTTCCTCATTTCTTACAGCAAAATAGTCTTCCATCACATTCATATACAACAGTTTATTTTCTTAGTTAGTGTAACCAGCTTAGCCAGTGTCTTTGATATACTTTCCACTGAAAACCCTGTATGCCTCATTGAGTTGGGGTTCTTGTCCTCTCCCAATGAAATGTATGACCTTGGGCATATTATTTAACCTCTTTGGGATTCCCTTCTCACCATTGTAGAAAAAGGAGTATGACATCTGTACTACTCACCTCCTATCATTGTTACAAAGTTCAAACGAGGCAACACACAGGAAAATGCTTTGAAAAGTATAAAGTAATAATAGCTAGTGTTTAGATACGCCAGTATCTTTGCCAAGAAAACCACAGATAGGGTCACGAAGAGTCAGATACGACTGAAAAATGACCAACCAATTTAAATGTCAGGCTTGAGGAATTTGCGTTTTATCCTGCAGGGATAGAACCACTGAATGTTTTTTGAGGAGAGGGACATGATCAGACCTGTTGTTTGTATATTTAATTTGACTTTGGGAAGAATGGATTGGTAAGGAGTTTCTAGCATCAGGATATATATTTGAAGGATAGACAGCATATTTATTCCATATGCACTTGTATAAGTCTTGTTGGCTTCCCCTTTTAGAATATAAACTTCCTGTAAGTAGTGATTGTTTTCATTCATTGTTTTTATATCTCTAGTGCCTTAGCACAATGCAGGGCACATAATAGGCACTTAATAAATACTTATTGATTGATGAATAAGAGATAGTATCAAGAAGACTTCAGTTAAACTCTTGCTTCTCATGAGGTAGGTAGGTTATTTAACTTCTTTCTTCCTTAGTCTCTTCAACAGCTAAATGAGGATAGTAATACCTATAGCACTCACCTCACAGGCTTATTGTGGGGCTTAAATGACAAAATAGATGTAATGGACTTTGCAGACTTTACAAGGGCATATTCATATCAGTCCTTCTTCCTTCCTTCCTTCCTTCCTTCCTTCCTTCCTTCTTTCCTTCCTCTTCCTTCCTTCTTTACTCTTCCTTCCTTCCTTCCTCTTCCTTCCTTCCTTCCTTCTTCCTTCCTTCCTTCCTTCCTTTCTTCCTTTCTTCCTTTCTCCTGCAAGCTTTCATCAGCCTTGGTGTTCCTTCTCATCACTACCCTTTGTCCCTCTGATTGCAGGGTGGAGTCATGAACTCCAAAATCCCTATTTAAGGAGGAGCTCAGCTCAGATGTCTCATTTCTCACCTGGTTATACTACTTTCGGACTTCTCTGTTTTCTTCACCATGCCCCTGCATCTGGGTACCTTCCTTCCCTCCCCCTCCCCCACTTTTCAACCTTTTATGTGTTGTCTTCCCCTATTAGATTGTCAGTTCCTTGAGGGCAGGGACTGTTTCTTCCTCCTTCCTTCCTTTTTCTTTCTTTCTTTTCCTTCCTTCCTTCTTTCTTTCCTTCCTTCCTTCCTCCTCCCCCCCTCTTTCTTTCTTTCTCTGGAATTTAGCACAGTGCCTAGCACCTAGGTTCTTTATTGACTGACTTGAAAAAAAACCTCAAGAAAAGAGTGTGTAGAGGCGAGCACATCCTTGTCATCACTATTTGAGCAGTTCAGGAAATAGGATTTAATTGGAAACCATGGTGACAGTGGGTGAATTGTGAAAGATGAGGATGAGAATTAAAAAAAATAGAAAGCTACAGCAAAGACAAAGATTCATAAATTAGACATGATACAGAAGTAACATGGAAAGTCAAGGCAAGGAGTTGATAAAGAGGCTGGATTTGAAGGTAGCACCAGTCTGAGAGACTGTTCTTTTAATTCATGGAATTATAGAGCTGAAAAGAGCCTTCAGAGATCACCCATTTACAAAAGATGAAATTAAGCTCTTGAAAGTTTAACTGACTTATTGAAGATCACATAACTCATGGAGGAAATAGGGCTAGAACCTGAGTCTCTTGACTTCTGGTCCAATGTTAGAAACTGTCCCTTTTCCCATTATTGCCCTCTGTTCTTGTCTCCTCTTCACATAGCCAGCCAGTTAGACAAGTTCACCCAGTATGTATATTCCCTTCTTGCAGGTTGCTTAGTCCCTTGTAGAAGGTTCAATAACTTTTCAGATCACTTATCTCTAGCCCCTCAACACTAAATGATTTCCCCCAGAGCAGAGGTGTCAAATATGGGACCCATAGGTTTCAGCAACACTCCCCAGTGCCAGTCAGAAGCAGATTAAAATGTAATTGGGAAATATTTAACAAAATAATTAAAAATACAATAAAACATAAATAACATTAACATATGGTTCTCTAAGTCAATAAGGGGCCTGGCTCGCAGGGGTCTTTCTGTTTGAGTTAGTGGTCTCCCCTTTCCCCCATTGGAGTTTATACTCCTGCCCTAGTACCCCCAAAGCTTAATGTACAAGTCTATCTAATTATTACATTGACATAAAGTCAGGTTTGCCTCTATCACTGATTTGGAGATTGAACGAGAAAGATAGTAAGACATAGAAAAGAAATGGAGTTTTTACCCATCATCCACGTGGAAACAAATCCAGAGTAAGGAAATAATATCTTCTTGGAGGAGGCAGAAATGGATTTGAATATCAAATTCTCAGTACATCAGTGGTCACTGCTACTGCTTTGACATAGCAAACGATGTCTGTGACAATTAACAGAATATGGGTTTTCTTCTCTTTCAGGGATATGAACCAGTGTTTATTCACAAGATCAACCATAAGCACATTCTAGCTAAGAACTATTTTTCTCAGATTCCAATGATGGCTGCATTTTTACATGTTTATGACACTGAAGATGAAGCAAAGGAGAAAGAAAGTAATGAAACAAAGGACAAAGAAAGTAACCAAACAGAGGAGGAAACAGATAAGGAAACAGTGGTGTCTGTAATGCCCAGGTCTACACCTAACGATACAGAGGCGGAATGCCTTCCACATTAGTGTTTTCCTCTGTGACTAATTGAGTAACATGACTGTAATGCAAGTAAAGGAAAGGGTTTGTGCCTTTTTGTAGCATTTCTTAATTACTAATCTTTGGGAATGGGATGAGTTTTATGAAGATAAAACATCCTTACATCAAATGTTTTAATGTTGGTCTATTCGTTTAAAATCAGCTTTTGTAACCATATGCAGTGTTTTGAAGTAAAAAGAAAATGTGTCTGTCTTATTATTTGAAAACTGACATTTATTAATGCTTTAAAATTTTTTCAAAGTGCTTTATGTATATTATAAATTATCTTATTTCAGCCTCATGAGAATTTTGTGAGCTAGGTACTACTAGCATTAGTATCCTCGTATCTCCTCCACCACAGTGCCTCTGACTGGTATACCAAATCATTTTTATTCTTTCTTTTTCAAACATCTTAAAATAGTCAAGAGTTTCATAGGAAGAATGAAGGGACTTGGTTTATTTGTATTAGACATAATGGATTTTGGTTTTGGACACCAGTACATGTGAGTTCTTACTTTGATTCTTTTCCTTATTTACTGTGAGACTTTGCCAAGTTTATCTTCTATTTCTCAGTTTCCTCATCTGTCTAATACACATGATTACTGTTCCTGCTCATCTCTAAGGAATGTTGTGAGACTTTTGAAGTAGAACCTTTCCTTGCTTATTAAATGCCCTCCTTCCTTGAGAAATCTCTTGAAGTTCTCCTCTGTCACTGCCAAGGCTTCCTGAACTCACTGGGAATAAAATATATTTATCACCTAACCAACAGCTCGCAGAATCACATTCCTTTCCCAAATAGTGAATAAGAATAAAAGCATGCTAGTGAAATGACTAGCAAACCATTAAGACAAGTAAAACAATAACATGCTATTTTGTTTGTTTGTTTGTTTGTTTGTTTTTAGGTAATTGGGGTTAAGTGACTTGCCCAGGGTCACACAGCTAGTAAGTGTCAAGTGTTTGGTCGGAGGCCAGATTTGAACTCAGGTCCTCGTGACTTCAGGGCTGGTACTCTATCCACTGTGCCACCCAGCTGCCCCCAATAACATACTATTTTAAAGTAACTTATATGATGCACTTTTGTCAGAGTTGCCACCATCGCTCTAAACTCTTTGAGAACAGAGAGCATTTTTTTTCATGACTCTCTACTGTATGGTACTATGGGGACACCAGAGACTAGTGATGGTGATGATGCCATGTGTCTAAGTAGACTGTGGAAGGATAGTTTCACCTAGGATTTTCAATCCAGTTGATTGTGCAGGTCTATCTCTACAATACACTTAACCTTCTTATCTGAAGTAGGAAGACCACATTGATTAGTTTGAGCAAAAGTTCATAAAACTGTTCCACTGACATGTGTGTTGACATGGCCTATCTGAAAACATCTAGAGACATTCTTCCTATTGCATATAATACTTCAATATGAAAAAATTCTGATTTTATGATCTAGATGAAATTATACATCCTTATTTGCTTTTTAAAAATTTTTTTTCCTTATTTGCTTTTGAAAGAGATTAAACAAAAGGTTTACTTTAATTTTCCATTTCCTGCAGTTTATTTAAAAGCTGATTTGATGTATAAAAATAAACATTTGCACCTTTGCTCAGGCATTTGCACATAGTTCAGGAATACATTTATATCGCATAAAGTAAAGTATACATTTACTCAGAATTACTAACATTATGAGGTAGCCAGTAACCCCTTTTTGCATTCAACCTGACTAGTGACTTTCAGGTACTGTATAACACTCAGATTTCCCAACAGTGATGGTTTCAGTGACTCTCAACAGTTACAGGTATCTGAGTGAGTGGGTTGTCCTAGTAGGTAGTGGGTTCTCTGTTGTTTGAGGTCTTTAAGGAAAGGCTAGATGTCAGCTTATCGGAGGTTTTGCAGACAGATTTCTTGTTCAAGTGTATGTTGCGCTAGATGGTAGCAGAGTTTGATTTTTGATATTTAATCCTGTGTGTTTCCTGTCCATGCCCTTAAATCACCCTTTTCGAGGCTTTCCTTCTAGGTCTTTTAATATTTTGTGGAGAGTAGTACAATGCTTGGACTTGTCTATCTATATTGTCCCTCACTCTTATATGTGACCAAGCCCCCTTCTTTTTGTCATCCATATGCTCGAGGAGGTCTTGAATACCACTTTTTGTCTGAAGTCATTTTTGGTAATATGCTGCCACCAAGCCAGTCATTTATTTTTGGATTGTCCTTTGGGGCTCCAGCAATTTTCATTCTTCTGAGATTGTGATGATATTTGGTTAATTCACATCACCTAGTTGAAATCTGTGTCATTGTAATTTCTGTTTATTGATCCTAATTCTGCTATCCAGAACCAATCAAAAGCAGCCATCATCCACATGTCAAACCATCATCTTTTTTAAGAACAGTGTCCATGTTCCCCTAAGTCTTTTCTTTTTCAGACAATGTATGCCGTTGTTTCAAAATCATTCACCATTTTGTTCACCAACCCTTTGGCACATTCAGTTTACCAGTGTTGCTTCTAAATTGCATTATTTTTTATGTACTTATCTCCTCACATGTTGTTTCTCCCTCAGTGGAATTCAGGCTCTTTGAGGGCAGAGGCCATTTTTTGTGTTATCTTTGGTGAAGCAGGAGTGCATTAGGAAGGCTTCCTGGAAGCAGTGCCACCTGGACTGAACCTTGAAAGAGAAAATTCTAAGATGTGTATAGAGTGCATTCCAGATGACAGCATAATCAAATACACAGAGGTGAAAGAATGTCAAATTTAGGGACTTCAGTCTCCCAGTTTGTCTGGAATGAAAGAGTACACAAAAGGAATGAATGTGAAATAAGCCTAGAAAGATAGGCTAGATCCAGATTGTAGAAAGATGAATAGCTTGTTTTTATCTGAGAAGCAAAAGGAAGACATTGAAAGTTTTTGAGTCAGAGGAGAGGACATGATCCTTTGTACTGTAGGAATATTATTTTGGCAGCTGTGTGGAGGATGGATTAGCAATAGGGAGACAATTAGTAGACTATTATAGTGGCCCAAGTGAGAGGTAATGAGGTTCTGAACTACAGTTGTGGCCTTGTGGGTGGAGAGTAAGGATGGGAGAGATTTTGATAGTCTAAAAATGTTGAGCTTTTGGGGCTAGGACAGGCTAACACTGCCATGATCACAGAGAATGCTACCCCACTTGTCCTTTCTTCCTGACATTTTCTGAAAACTTCCATACCCCATGCTCATACTCTATTTGCTCATAGCTGGTATCTAGCATTATCCTGTCTCTGATATCAGACATCAGAGGTGGGAAACTTGCCAGATGCACCTGAGTGAGAACCATATCTTCCCTCTTAAAACTGTGGTCTTTGACTGTCTCGGTGAGCTGCCTTTATGCAAAGGTGAAAGAAGCCCAGGTATCCCCCACACTGATGAGAAGAAATGGAGCATTGAGAGATGGACAGCACGTGTGAAGTCTGAAGAAAGTCTCTCTGAAAGACCGTCATTGACCCCCTTTCTTCTTCTGTGGCCTGAAGACTATTGCACTGAGCTCCAGTTGTAGCTCTCTCTCCATGAGCTGAATCCTAATTGTATCCTTTGCCCCAAACTTTCTTCCCTCATTACCCCTGTTCTCCCATGCTCTTGGTTTTATGCCCTGACCTTCTTCTTTAAAAAGCATCAGAATAAAATTCCTATTGCTTTATGCATTACCGGATTGTCTGTTTCTTTTGTTGAACATCCTCTAAGCCTCATAATTGCCGGTAAGGACTGGGATAGAGGCATAGATGTAGAGTCAACAAATCAATTTAGCTATGGGAGAGGTGAGGGATAGGAAAATAGCAAGGATGTCCCTGTGGTTATGCCTATGAGTAACTGGAAAGGATGATAGTGCCCTCAACAGTAGAAAAAGCGTAGAGGGTGAGGTTAAGAGGGAAGAAAAGTTCCATTTTTGTGCTTGTTGAGTTTGAAGTAACTATTGAACAACCAGTTGAAAATGTGTAGCAGGCAGCTGGTGATGTAAAATGGGAGCATAGAGGAGAGGTGAAGGCTAGATTTGTAGATTTGGGAATCATTAGCATAGAAATGATACTTGAAATAATTTGAACTGGTGAGATCCCGGAGAGAGAAAGAAGAGGGGCCAGTACATCCAGTCTTAGGGAGTGAGCAGTGAAGAAGCAGGATGACTAAAGAGACAAAAAAGAAGCAGTCAGATGTGTATAAAGAAATTCAGAGAAAAAAAGTAGTGTTACAAAGCCAAGGAAGAGATGGGCATCTAAGAGGAGGAAATCAAAAGCAGCAAAAGCCTGCAGAGGTCAAGGAGTATGGGGAGAAAAGAAAAGACTTAGAAGTCAAGTTAGTTGGTAACTTCATAGTGGAGAGTTTCAGTAGAGTGATACCTGATTATGAGAAATTGAACATGAGTAAGGTGATAAATAAAGTGAGCAGATAATTCTAGAAACTTGGTAGTAAAGCAAACTTGAAGGGTTAAGTAAAGGTTTTAAAGAATGGGGAGGAAATGGTATGCTTGGAGGCAGAGTGGAAGGCGTATCTACATATCTATCTTTGTGTTTGTATGTATCTCTCTTCTTGTCTTGTCCCCTCCCTTCTCATTCCCCCCCCCCCTCAAAAGAGACTGGATAGGATGGGCTCCAGTGGAGAGAGTCTACCTACCTCTTTCTCAGAGCCTAGAACAAAGGAGGCGAGAAGCATAGGTGGAGATACAGAGCCACTTAAGGGGTGGAATAGAGGAGGTGACAGATAGCCAGTGACAGATAGACTTGATTTCCTTAGTAAAAGGTGTCATTTGTTGAGAGAGAAGTGATCCTGGATGGCTTAGGGGGCTTGAAGAGGTTAGAAAGTTAGGAATAGCCATTGTGGGTGGCATGATAGTCATTTGGTGAAAAATAAAGGGATTTCTATGCAACAGTGAGGGCCCATTTGAGATTAATATGAATTTTTAATGCACATTGTATGCTTGCTTGACTTCTTCCAGTGGCATTCAGCAACACAGGATTAAGAGCAGAGAAAATAAATGATGATAAGAGTGATTATAGGATCGGGGATGACAGTGTAAAGATGAACTTGTCAACTACAGTTGCAGAGGAAGGTGAGGCTGGAGTCAGGGTGAAAGTCTAGAAGACCAGGGTGGGATGGAGGGGCTGAAGGGCAAGGTAGAAAAAAAATTCTTATACATACATAGTGTGTTCCAAAGGAGCT